ATTTCATAGAGCATGAAAAGTTTGTTCTTTCACTTCTTTTGCCTTTTTTTGTAACGGTAAACGGTGATGGGTATAAAAGATTCGATCCCCACTGAATTTAATTTTCTTAGTTGTTTTTTATTGCCTTAGCCGGGCAATCAAATACTTGCGAATTACGCAACTGTTAAAGTTTGAATCTGTGCCAGCTATAGACAAGTGGATTAAATGTTTTTTTTTTAATCAATTTTGCAGTGCAGAGCTTAGGGGCCGACGAACCTATTAAGTTAAAGATGTCTTCTTAGAATATTTTTCGAAAATAAATTTTTCCTTTAACCTACAATTATATGCTTAATGATCCACGCAAATATTATTATTGTGTTACTTTCTGTTCAAAACTACGACTTTTTTGGACTACAAGGATGATGTTCGGTCCCCATCGCATATAATTTGCTTTCTTGTTATTATTGGATTGGCTCTCTAACGGCTTAAAATTGTTCAGATATTTCTTCTTACTCCTCTCTTTAGTTTTTATTTCTCTTTGTGTTTTGTGAGAGCATGAGAAAAAACTTGAGATAATGTTACGCTTCCGTGATGATTAAAAAAAATTATAAGTTAAATTTAATAATAAAAACATTAAACTGCTATTCTGTCAATTTCTAAGGCTGTCTTTTTTAAAAATACACTAAAAACAATTATGAAAATCGCTGTTTAAGAAACTTTAGTCAATGAAAATAAAAGCAAAAAATAAAAAAACAACAAAAACAAAAACGAAAGAAAAAAAAAGCACTATTTACATTGTTAATAATATTATAATACAATGTTACACACATGTCACAGCAATTGATGGTTAAATAATTATAAAAATTTATGAATGTTAGCAAACTTTATTATTAAAATAATAAATAAAATGAGTACAATATTTTTAAGATAATGAATAATGTTGAAGTCAAAAAAAAAAATGTTTGCTTTTTAAAATATGAATGAAATATTAAAACTATATTTATTTATTATGATGTTATATAAGTAATTATGTATGTCTATCTTTCCCCATTATATTATTTATTTATATAAATATATATATATATATATATACGTGGTGTCTCTTTTATAAGTCATCGATATATTAAGCTTTAATAGTTACAGCAAACATTTGTATGATTATCGTATCATAATTTGTTAAATTATATCTCTGTTGATTGCTTTAGAATATTTTAATTATAAAATATAAATATGTATGCGTGCGTATTGGTTATTGATTATGTGTTTGGATTAACGTATATATCTATTTATAGATGTGTGCATATGAAACAGGTGCATAAAAAAGCCATTGAATTTTAAATTAATTGATGATATAATAAAAAATAAAATAAAAAAAATTGTATACATATATATATATGTATATAAATATATATATGTATATATATATACATATTTACTAATTTAAAGAAATTTTTAATTCGTTTCATTGAAATAAAGGAAATTTAAACATGCCTTCGTATAGTATCCTAGAAGAAGAAGGAAGCTTGAGAAAGAGAGAGAGACAGAGAGAGAGAGAGAGAGAGAGAGAGAGAGAGAGAGAGAGAGAGATAAAGAAGGATTAAGAAAAATGGCATTGGCATGCTAAGGTAGCAAGCAGTAACCCCGATTAGGCAAAATATTATGATGTAAAACGGACTTTTTGTTTTTGATTTGACTGCGTCTCAGTTTAAGTTCACACCACCGAGCTCTGATGTTTAAGATAGTATTAGCTTTTATTTATAAAATAAGTGAATCGATTTACAAGTTATTTACCCGAACTTGTATTTACAACGCTTTAATTCTCCGCTCCCGATTTTATCCAATCGCATTTTCCAATTCAACTCTCTTAACTCACTTTTCAACTCATTTTCGACTCTCTCTCTCTCTCTCTGAGGCTTGACTCTGACTTGCGCAAATATCGTGCTTCTATACCCTTTTACAAGCAAGTTATCATTATCTAAATTAATCGCGACCTTTTTAACCCGTTAATCCATTTTTCCGCTAAATTTCTGCCAATTGTTGTTAATTTTTTCGCCAGTGATCAACTGCATGATGCAATTTCTTCAAATTATCAAATAACAATATGTTGTTATGTTTTAAATTGAGTGAGTAGAAAGAAACAAGTAAGAGAGACAGATGAACGGACAAACGAATCGATCGATATCATAGAAGGTGAGTCTATCTCAACTCCTTCTAGGTGTTACACGTATCCGCACAAACTTGATATAATCTTGTAGCATAAGTGAAATGCTTGCAAAAATATTCTCTACCGCTATAAACCTTCAATGCCCTTTAGGAAAAGTATTAATTACTGGAGGTAGATAAGCCTAATCGTCGGTTGCTATGTAAAATAATGGAAGATCTTATGAGAACATTCTCTGAAAGGATGCTAAATTTAAGAATGAAAATTGAATTTCTCTGATTCAGGAAAAAGATCCTTTTTTATATGTATGTGCGTTTCAAGTTAAGCGCGCAATGTCATTTAATTGAGATAATTTTTATTGAAATATTTCCTGCTATCGCTTCCTAAATTGTTGGTTCCTTTTCTCCTTTTTTCTTTTCATTGATTATAGTAACTTTTTTGACTAACTAGATCGCTTGTTGTTCGTATCATGATTTTCACGTGTGAACACTAAAACAACTTCTCTTCTTCTTTTTTTAAACAATCATTTTCATCCGAGAATGATTTTATTATGTAAGCATTCAAAATGACTTTATTCAATTTGAATAGCACGGCATCTTCCTTTCGGATTCCGCTTTCGAAGGATCACAGTGCATTTCTGTACTGTTTCGCTTCATTTTAATGCAAATATCGTAAGATTGTTTTCGAACGTCTTTCAGCAATTTCTAGCATTGAAAACGATGCCTTTTCGTATCTATACACAAACCTATAACTGACGACTTACATCATAAAAGCTTAAGCACGATTGCCTCTGTTCTGGGAAAAGCTAAATTACCATATTGGTAAGTACTTCATCATAGACATAGCGTGATTTTAAAAAATATATCGTCGACGAACATCGTTGTATTGAAAAATCGTTCTATAATGTGTTGCCGCTTATTGAAACGGTTTTTTTTAATAATTTATTTATTTTTTATTATAATTATTTAAGACACTTTCAACAATAAATGAATAATTAATAAGTGTTGTAGGAGTCTATGAGAGACTGCGTCCTGGGCGTCGACGTTCTTAATGACTCTCTCCTGCGTTGCACAACAGTATCTGGCACTTTGGATATTGTACAGTGTCCGGTTTCTAATCGTCCACCACCATTCAACAACACTTTTCTAGAAAAAAGGGAAAGAAACGGGACCCTTAAATGTTTACTTTTTGCCCATAACTTGTCCTAGAAAACTACATCGGTCGCACTTCAATGCCATAGCTATTGACATAAAGCCTAAAACGAATACTTTAGACAAGTGGCAGTGCTACTTACGCATTATGATTTGAAAACAACGTACAGAACGAAGTGCTTAACATAATTTACATCACTTGGATATACTTTATTTTATCGATCGATTCGGAATCATTTTTCAAATCGATTTAAACCTCTTTGTCTATGTAAATTTGTGTTCAACTTACAGACGGCAATGTTTTGAGATATTTTGATAGCGCTTGGCATACTGACGTCTTTTGGCTCAAGGACGTATGCTGTTGAAAATGATTCGGATCAGTCAACTTTTTTGACTACTCCCTAACGCTTTATTTTGAAATCATCAACATCGTTATATGGAAAAAAATTGCAATTTTTAAAATTTTTTGACAAAACTTGCTGTGCGTAATTGTATTTTGACATTCTAAACTGGTATGAAATGTTCCAGTTAAGACAATTTTTTGAAACTGCTCCTTATATAATCGTTTCTACAAGAACTGAATCTTTATAAGCTAAAAAGGTATAATTCTCAACACTATATGATGAAAATTGATTAGTAATCAACCTTACCAAATTTGGACTACGTCGGTATATTATTTGGATACGACCGCAGATAGGGGTGAAATTCCAAATAAGGGAATATTTGCAAATGATAATAATTTGACATAAAAATTAACTGAACCATGTAAATCTATCTATAAGATATCTTGGGCCCCACTTCATATCAGACGCCTCATGAATCCCTTATAAGGCCTTCAGAAAAAGTTTCAATTTTTAATATTTTGTGATGAAAATTGGTCCACAGTAGCAATTTAGCAAAAAAAAATTAAAAGCAGGAAATTTGGATCACATACGTCTATTTTTTAGACTTTAAGTTATTAATAGGGGTTATTATGAAAAGCAAGCTCTTATACGGAGAACAAGTCAAATTTCTAGTTTTTTACGACTGACGGAAACTGAAAAATAATCAAATTTTTGGAAAGTAAATTAAGTTTAGTAAACTTGGATTACGTCATATGATGTTTTGGGTATCCTGCAATATGCGGACTTTCATGAAAAGTATGTCTTTGCATGAAAATAATCTGTCATTTTTGATGCAGACGAATCGGTGTAGGTTATTTAATGCTCGGTCTTGTCCGATTATAATGGTCTTAGTTGTTTTTACTTAGTATGGATTGCTTATTGCCACACACACATTCTGGCAATTAAAGAAGCAAACACTATTAGCGGGAACAGCGGATCCACTATCAATAAACGCTCATTCATCCAAACGATAGTGGATTCATAACGGAACCTCTCGATGTTGAGTTATCGAGGGTCCTCATACGATTGGGTGCATGACTCCTCGCATTCCACATTATTGCTCATATTCTCTCAATACCACGATACCGAATCTAATTTCTCCTAACGTTTAAGATTGTTGAAGAAGTCTTGTTTAAAAGTTTTCCCAAATATTTATTTAATATAAAAATAATAGAAAGACTTACTTAATATTGATTGAGTAGTTGATAAAAGAAAAAAAAGAACAGAAAGAAAAAATGATGGCAGTGTTGTAAACAATTATTTCAAGAAGAAATTATTCCCTTCCTATATTGAGATAACTGACGTTAGTAATTTGCATCAATGTTGCTAGGTTTCGTTGTAAATGATTTAAACTTTACGCGTGCGACGCCATAAAAAATAATAGCCAAGAAGATGAAAAGCCATATAAATACCAAACATGGCCAATAAATTTCGATAAAGATGCGACTCATTAAAACTGTATTTATCAAGTACATCTTGACCGGTATGAAAACAAGGCAAATCTTCGCTCTCTTGAAAACAAGCTGAAAAATAATTATTAATAATACATATCCTGCGAACAATAATTGCGCAGTTAATTGAACGATTAATTTGATAAATAAATGCGTTCGCTATAGGACGCAGGAAAAATTTCATACTCACTGATATTCTCCACACCAGACCATTGCGCTATCGTCATGGCTTCATTCGCATATAGCATCCAGGATAAATATTGCGTCCAATAAAAAGCCACAGGCAGAGTACTAAGAAATTCAATTAAATAAAATAAACATATGAGAAGCGTTTCTACAATTCGAAATTTGCAGGTGAGTCGGCCTCAATACATTCAGATTTAAGGAATGTCTCAATAAATTATTTATCTCTCATCCTAGGGATAGAAGAACACTTTTTCTCGTTCATTATATTTTGATGGACAGACGTGAGAAAATACAATGACGATTAGGCAGAAAGAAGTGAAAAAAGGGTGATAGAGTGTCACTACACTCTGGTGAAGAGTGTATGCTCACTATCCCTTCACTGATCGGGCGTTCGCTTTAGCTGCGCCCACACGTTATTCAAAAGAACCGATCTACGGTACTAGAATTTCAACCCCGTTATGCCGACGTGATGGTCGCAACTTCTTACATACGTCGCGTTAAGATGTGAATACAAATTTACAATTTTCAGATCCTACCTACAAATTATTCCATAAAAGTTGATAGAGGCTTTGAGGGAAACTTTCCTTTGCATATACCACATCATACGTTGAATATTGACTCAATCAATTATTCACTCTGTAAGAGTTATGGCAAAAACATATATCAGAGATTCTGTAGAAAATTTGAATTTGCTCTTGACCTTGACAGTTTTATCTATCATCGTTCGCAGAATCATCTCTCAGAATCATTGCTCAGTTAACGACCTATGTTAAGCTGGGGGTATCGAAGATTCATTCCAATAGCACATATATGCTAACTCTCTCACTTTTAGTTAATTGATTGCTACTTACCTAATTTTAATGAATATGCCTGACGTTATCATAAATATGTAGTCCAAAGGTACTAGATATGCCATTGCCAAAGGCACAGAATTAAATGCGGTCGAAAAAAAACAACCACAAGCTGTTGCTACATTCATAACTAATACCACAGCCATGGCCGTTATGGTGAACGCTTTAAAAGTTGACCGCAGACCGGTTATCCAATAGCAGAGAATAACAAATAAAAACGGTTCAATTATCATCCCGGGCAACTGTAAAGAATATATTTCCTAACTTGAATTATAACTCGTTGTGAATTTGCTTACCATTGCCAATATATTAGCTGCATAGTATTGGGCTGTCGTATACATTCCCGAGCGAGTCTCGCGTATAAATAGCGGAAAGCCCTGCGGGAAAACATTCAATACCGAATACATTGGATGATAAGTATTCTCCGATATCATAACAAATACAGCACCCTGTACTGCCTGCACACCCATTTGCGTCAATTCGGTAGTGCCGGCAAAGCAAGCTCCGATTACTAGAGCCATTGCCATTTTTTGTAAAAATCTCAACCATTGTACGGTAGGATCACGCAATAACGTTAAAGTTGTACGGTACCAAACGACATGAAATTTCTTATACCAAGCGGCGGCTTTAAAAATATCCACTTCGGTATCATACGGAAAATCCCCGGACTGAGCCATATGTATTTCCAAATTGACGAGCATATCCCTTTGCTTGGCGGCTGAGCTAACAGCGAATAGATCACATAAATATTGAGCTGAACGTTGTGAGGCTTGCTCGTAGCCCGGATCTGTGGCTAAAACGCCGATTAGATAATCGGCTGGATTATAGGCATCTGGGCAACGGTAGCCGTTGGCGGCGAAAAACTCCAAAGCGTTTTGCGGTGAGCCCGTGAATGCGACTCGACCATCGGCTAACAGTAAAACATTGTTAAACATATCAAACAATTGACTGGAGGGTTGATGTATAGTGCACAATATAGTGGTACCCTTTTGAGCCAAATCGTACAATATTTGCACCAATTGTTGAGCACTATACGAATCCAAACCGGTAGTAGGTTCATCGCAAAATAATATCACCGGATTATTTAATAATTCGACGGCGAAAGCTAAGCGTTTACGCTCACCACCCGATAAAACCTTTTTATCATCACCCGAACCAATGCGAGTATTAGCTGAGCCAATTAAACCGGTACGCTCAAGCAAATCATGTATAATAAATTTACGTTCTTGTCGATCAACGCGACGATCCAAACGTAGAAGAGCCTAACACGTTATTAATTAAAAATTTGAATTTTGAAAATGAAAATTATCTTATTTAACTCTACGCATACCATGAAATTCATGTGCTCCGCGACAGTAAGAGCGCCATTAAATAGATCATCTTGATAAACAAAACCGCTAATGCGATGCATAAATGGCCCAATATGACGGCCATTTATCAATATATCACCATGAACTACAGTACCAGCTATAAATGGAAATGAATGTCAAGTATTATCTTATCATCATCATCATCATCATCATCACATCATTATCATCATCATCATCAACAATAGCAATAACAACAATATCGTAACACAAGTTAAGGCAGAGGAAGTTTAAATAATTATTAATACGCAACACTTACCCGGTTGACGATAAGCCAAAACTGACATCAATGTCGTTTTACCCGAACCGCTGTAAAGATAAACAAGACAAATGTGTATAAACGTTGGTGTATCTGCAGGTGGTTGCGAGCGTATGAATGCATGTGTGTGTACGTGAAATTATGATAAACATAATATTTTCAACTAATGCTTTATGTCAAAATAAATAGAGAAACGTGATTACCGCGGCTAGGTAAACAAAAAGAATTTCAAATTTCAATTTCAGCGTTTGGCTGACAGAGATAACAAGCATAACTCGGATGCACTTGTAACTTCTAACATAAGTAGATTCGTTAATAATAAAGAAAAAGAGAAATACCAAAAAAAGCAATCCTCTATGACAAGTTTAGTGAACTGATCACACACACACACACACACACACAAATTATTCCGTTTTGGCTCTTTGTCAAGGCAATGACAGCATAGAAGACTTTTGTTTAACACAAATACGAATGTATTTTAAAATATTTAGTGAAATTACGTTCATTTCATGCAATCAGTATAATTCCACTTTGCTTCTCGTCATCTTCAAATGGTTTCAAATGAAACCTTATTTTATGTAAGCACTAAGGAAAAACAAGTAAAAAGATTACAGTCGGACAGGGTCGACCATTAAATACTCTAACCTAATTCTTATTTCTATTATAGAATCGAAAAATTATATCTTGCCTCATGTGCGGATTAATGGGAAGGCGGGCCCAAAACGCAACCCATTGCAGGGCAAAGTCTAACCCTTATATAGGGCAGGATCCAAAGACAGCCGTAGATAATCCAAATTTTGTAGAGTTCATTTTTGTATGAAATCACTATTATGGGTCAATCTCCACTACCACGTATTAAAACTTAAACTTTCCTGCTCTACAAAGGATCAATTTCCGTGAAAATACTTATTAAGTTAGGATTAAAAAAATTGGCCGAGATGGTCCAAATTCGATACAATCTTTATGTTAAATTACTATTATGATATAATTTTCATCATGAAGCATTAAAAATTATACCTTTCTGTTGTATATGAGAAGGGATTTAAAAATTACCCCATCCAGTCTAAAGTTTTCACACCAATTTAGAAGGTCGGCATACTAATACTTAGCCATATTTGCTAAGAAATTTTGCAAATTACAATTTTCTTCCATATAACGACTTTTCTGAATAGGGCGTTATACGGGCAGTGATCGCAAAAATGGACCGATCGAAAAAATTTTCAATAGCGTTTGTCCTTGGGCTAAAACCCGTCACTGTACCAAATTTCATCAAAATCTCTCAAAAATTGCGACCTGTAGCTTGAGCACAAATTTACACGGACAGATATCAGACGGACAGACAGGCTTAGACCAATTCAGATAATGATGCTGAATCGATCGGTATATAATAAAAGATGGGTTTATCTTAAGCCCATCTGCATGGTACAGACATCCGCACTAATTTAATATACCCTGTACCGCAAGTGCTGTAGGGTATAAATCAATTGAAACGTTGAGCTCGCGAAAGCATATCTTTTAAATATGTTTGAATGGGAGTTTTATGCACTTTCCCCAAAATATGACTACGAACACGAACCAGGTCGATGTAGTTCCTTCAAACGAAATACCTCAGTCTACTATATATATATATATAATTTATGTATGTAATAGATTAGGGTCAAAACTTCGTGTTGCTTTCTTTTTCTTTTTTTCTTTTTATCAACATTTAAATATTTATATGTTTTTGTCTTATCTCGAGCCATTATTAAGTATTAAATTAGATATGTGCCATTTTGCTCGATTATCTTTGGAGTTTTTTCTAGTAAAACTATCAGGGCAGCGTGTCATAGAAGTTATAGAACTTCGGGGCAAAAAACTGAACCAAGCATTTTTTTGAAGGTCACATTTCGGAGGCGCAGTAGGATAACTTGGTAGGATTAGATTTATCAGACTTAGCTGGCTCTCTTGGAGAACACATTAGCGAGCTTTTCCGTGCTCCAATGCTATGAGAATTTCATATGAAATTTCTATGCTTATGAAAGTTTGTTAAAATAATAAATGCCTGTGATGAACAGAAAAGCTTATGACAACCGAAGTTCAACGAAGAGCGTCTGGAAAATTAAAAAACTTACTAACTTTATTATCGACATAGACAAGATATATATATACATCAATTATGTAAGTACATACGTATATGGAATCTGTGGTGAGTAGACGGCTCTTTTATCACACACGGAAAGTTTAGTTTTTAAAAGGGAAAAATGATGAAAGTAAGCTAAAGACAAACGTATACTGGAACGAAAAAATCATATCACAATCTATGTATGTAGAAATATGGTTTTTCATAATTTTTTTCAAAAATCTTATTTAGAAAATTCATTGATTTGTTTTATTCTATATATATATATATACATTCTTTTTTTTTTATCGCCATCACATGTACTTATAGATGATTCTCTAACTTGAAGGAATGTGCATAAAAACATAGAAGAAGAGGTAAGTAATTGAATCTCTTCATTGATTGAGTTACGCTTCATTGATTCTATTGTAAACATTTCTCACTTCACTGAAAGCCCTCTAAAGGCTATACGTCTGGATGAATAAGTGTTGCTTTGCTTTTCCTTCATGTTTTACATGTTTTTCAAGTAAAATTTTTTTCTTTTTTGTTTTTTTTTTTTCATAATATACCAAAGAAGGAGTGATTTATTTTATCCATTTGAACATGAATGACTCAGCTGTCTCGCAAAATTTCAGTAGAAAGTTGCAAAACAAAAAAAAACAATTGTTTATTAGTATAAATTTTGAAAGCGCACACCTTGAACCCATCAAAGCCATAAGATTGCCTGGCTGTACAGCACCGGTTGAATTGTTTATAATTCTTTTCATATTGTATAGCGTAGGCGTGGAGCCTCGCTCGCCAGATGTATAGACACACAAGTCACGCCATACTAAAGTGGCTCCTTGCTCCGTGGGACACCATTTGTTGTAACTACGCAGAGGTAAGCTGCGTTCGGAACTGCTGCGTTTTGAAGCCATACTTGAGGGACCGTCCTCATGTTGGCTCATACCTCCGTTACCTTCACCACCACCACCACCACCACCACCATTGGCATTTGTATTACCATTGTGTGTACCCAAGGCAGTCATTTCGTATTCTTCCCCGGCCTGCGGATAGCGAGGATCTTCCATGATTATTAAACTGTCATCTTTTGATAATGTTCTATCATCCGCCATATTGTTCTCCCTTTAAATCCGTTTAAATGATTTTTTTTCTTCCTTTTTCTTTTTTTTTTTTTTTGCTTTCTTTTTAAAAATTTCTTTTTTAATAAAAAGACTTTTGTAAAATTTTTCTAATCGTATTACACGGGTGCAAATATATTTTAATTTTCGCTAAGCGCGCGTATTGTTAACCGTCTCAGTGTAAAAGAGAAACTATTTTCTTATTTATTAGAAGAGGCTTAGTCGTCACCAACTGGCAACTTAGTAGCAATAGTTTGTTTGTAATAGTAATAAAGACTTGTTATTAATGTAGCACTTACACTTAAGTATAACAGTTGTTGCGCTTTGGTATTTAATTCTGTTACGTTGTTCACTTGGCTTTATTTTCTGACAATTTTTATTTACATTGTTGTAAAATCTGTCAGCATATGCCAGGCATTAGCTAAAAATATGGCTTGATTAAAGAAAAAGAAAACAGCTTTGAGTTAAATGCGAGGAAAAGAAAAGCAAATCCGATCTTAAGTTCTTTGAAGACATCGCCCATTCGCAATTATCGCAACCGATATCCGAACAGATATTAAAGTTGAGGAATTGCCCTGCCCTCTGGCACCCCTCCACCTCAATTATATATACATTAGATTTGCGAAAATATTTATGGAGAGGCGGGAGGATATGTCCAGTTCGCTTTTCGCGATCAACAAAACCGATAAAATTAGTTGAGAATCTATGCTCTGACGAAGCCTAGGTTGCTAATGCATATTTTCTGGAATGGGAGGACATAGACATCAAGAATGGTAAGCGGAAATATTTCGAAACGTTTTTAAACGTTGATAAAGAGATCTTATATGCTCGACAAGCAAACAAAAAAGAAAGAATAAATAAGCAAAAGCGTAATCCAAAGGAAACATATGCTAAGAGCGCCAAGTGCTCCCATTACAAGCAAACATGATTGTTGAACGCATTTGAAATCAAAATGAAAAGAAGTGAGAAATTACTTCCGGCACTTTCAAACGAATCGTGAATATCCTATCTTTGAATATCATATTTAGTTTTATTACATAAGAAGTCATGTAAGTCATCATTCAATCTTAGCGAGCATGATACTTTTGATGAGAGAAGAAAAGGACAGGGAAACACGGCCATAGCAGTTCAGTATCTAATAAGGATCACTAATGATTTATAGATTTCCTAATTTTCTTAGTGTTACGGTAGGAATGTTATAGCAGGAACGACAGACAAATCTGTTATATATAGAGAATAGGTCTTGATGGGCGCTTGAATGCTGGAAAACTGATCGCAAATATTGTAAATTGAAATCGTAAACCGTATCCCGAGTTAGTCGGCCATTCGTTTGCCATCTATCAGATTGATCTGCTGATAGTTTCTGCGTTTGATTGTTTATTTTTTTTTTTTTGTTTGAAAATCTTATGAAAGAAAAAGTCCATAGATATGAAACAAGTGAGAACCTTGTATGGACCAATGAGGCAAAATGACAAAATAAAGCCCAATAGTGGATATTAAACCAAATAAATGTATGTAATGTTCTTAACATTTCTACAAGTACAGCTTCTATGAAAAAGAAACTCTAAAATTTCAATGATTCATGATATATAGATCGGATGAAGATCGGTCGAATGTTACGTGTAACTAATACAGATGTTGCTATAATTCGAGGCATATGATGCTTGCAAGCATTTTATAGTTTTCATTGCAAACGCTACGATCAGTTTAATACAACCGAAGTTAATTTTTATGAAGACCTGCTCAGGCGGGGAGCAGTCCCTCCCTCCTATGCCTGCATATATAATATGTTCGCTTTCAGAATCATCTTTCTTTTTAATCTTGTTTAGTT